CATTATAAAATGGGCATGTGTGGGCACTGGGTGGCTCAGTCAGTTGAGTGACTGCCTTCGGCTCAGGTTATGATCCTGGAGTTCCAGGATCGAGTCCCACATCGGGCTCCCTGCTTAGTGGGGAGTCTGCTTCTCCCTCTGACCCTCTCCCCTCTCGTGCTCTCTCTCTCTCAAATAAATAAATAAATAAAATCTTTAAAAATAAAATAAACAACAAAAACAAGAAAACGGGCATGTGTGGAAGGGTGAGGAGGAACAACACTGTCTCAAACACAGATGTGCATAGGTAGGCCAGGCAGGGCAGTCTGGCCAAATGGAGGACACAAACCCTACCTGAAGAAGGGCAGTGACTACCAGTTCTGCTGACTGCTTCCCATTTCTCAGACTATGTCAGAAGCACCTCCTGAAAATGCATCTAAGCTCCCCTCCAGAGGCAGGGAGTGGCTTTGGCCATCCAGGGGCCATTCAGGTGCCTCTGCCTGTGGTCCTGGTTCAGTCATCAGAAACATCGCTTGAGAATTTTTTATGTAGAAACCGTACACTTTTTTTTTTTTTGTGAAGCCTCCCACTTGTAAAATAGGGGCTTAAGAAATACTCCACCTCACAACCATCAGGACAACTACTATTAAAAAAAAAAAAAATAGGGGCGCCTGGGTGGCTCAGTCGTTAGGCGTCTGCCTTCGGCTCAGGTCATGATCCCAGGGTCCTGGGATCGAGCCCTGCATCCGGCTCCCTGCTCCGCGGGAAGCCTGCTTCTCCCTCTCCCACTCCCCCTGCTTGTGTTCCGTCTCTCGCTGTGTCTCTCTCTGTCAAATAAATAAATAGAATCTTTAAAAAAAAAAAAAAAACAACAAGTGGTGGCAAGAATGCAGAGAAATTGGAACCCTTGTACCCTGTCAGTGGGAATGTGTTAGGGTGCAGCCGCTGGGGAAACTGTATGGAGGTGCCTCAAAAAAATTAAACAGAGAATTATCATATCACCCAGCAATTTTACTTCTGGGCACATGCCTGAAAGAATTGAAAGTATCAACTCAAAGAGATTTGTACACCCATCGACGCGTGAATGGATAAAGAAAATGGGGCATATCCGTATGATGGAGGATTATCCAGCCTTAAAAAGGGAAGAAAGTCTGACACACGTTATAACATGGATGAAGCTTGAGGCCATGTTGCTAAATGCAATACACCAGTCACAAAAAGAGAAATACTGTATGATTCTACTCACATGAAATATCTAGAACAGTAAAAATCATAGAGATAGTAAACAGAATGGTTGCCAGGGGGTGGGGGGTAGATGGAAATGGGACTTGTTTAATGGGGACAGAATTTTAGTTTTGCCAGATGAAGACGTTCTGGAGATCGGTTGTACAATGATGTGAATATATGTAATGCTACTGAACTGTGAACTTAAAAATGGTTAAGACGGCAAATTTTATGTCATGTGTATTTTATCACAATTGAAAACAAATACTATTTGGGCCAAACAAAATCATGTGTGAGCTCAGTGTGGCCTGCAGCTCCCCACCTTATGAGATCACTCAACTTGATCTTTTTTTTTTTTTTTAAAGATTTTATTTATGTATTTGACAGAGACAGACACAGTGAGAGAGGGAACACAAGCAGGGGGAGTGGGAGAGGCTTCCCGCCTGCTTGACCCTAGTGAGTTCAATGAGAGTCCTGATGGAAAGAAACTAAGCCAAAGGAAGCTATAAAGTGGTGAAAGCCAGAGACCCAGCCTGCCAGTACTGTGGGCCTGCACCGGCGAACAAGCTCTCCACAGAGGATTGTCATTCGGGTTCCCGAGCCTTGTGCAATGCACCCTGCAGATACGCGCTTCCGGAGGCCCCTTTTCTCGCCCACTTCGCCTTGCCTCTCCTAGCTCCTGTCTTCTGGCTGCCTCCATTAGGGGCTAGGAGTGTGGCGCTGGGGCCCTGCCCCAGCCTGACTGCCCTTGAATACTTTTTGTGTTGTTCAGCCTTTCACTGATACCTGCAGCTCCTCCAAATAGTCCTCTAGCTTCTGTGGCCGTCGGGAGTGTTGCCTGGGAAGTCTGCAGCATGCCTCTCCTTCCTGGAGTCCTAGATGCGAGGCGGAGATCCTCATCTATCTCCACATGAGGAGCACTAGCCCAGAGGTAGGTAGGTTCTGGTCTCCAAACAGCAAGCATCTGTTTCTCTGGGCTCCTAGGAGTTCAACTGTGAGTACCCACTCTCCTGATTCACAGATGCGCAAACCAAGTCTCCGAGGTGCCAAACGACTTGGTCAATTTTTCTTGTACTGGGGACCCTCTCATACAGCCTGAGACAAAGCTCCTTTCCCCAAGGAATGATCTTCCACCCTTCTCATCACTTGTTTCTTGCTCTGGCTGAGAAGGGGGAGGGAGGGTGTTCAGACCCAGGTGGGGATCTGGATCTAGGAGTACGAGGCCACACATTACTCTCAGGTTCCCACCACCAACCTACCCTCTCTCTGAGTGTTCCCAGCAGCAAACAGGAGCTTCTCCAGACTTTAAACTCCTCCCAGGCTAGGAGCCCTTTAGATTTGTCCTCAGTTAATGCCTAGGTGTGTGTCCTTGGCCAAGCCCCTCCCTTGCCTGAGTCTGTTCGGCCTCTCTACAAAGCAGGCTGGGCTTTAAGAATATGGGCTTTGCACTAGGAGATGGATCTAGATGAATGCAGACAGGAGTGGCAAGGGGGTGGGGGGGTACACATACCTATTAGGACCTGGAGTACTGAGGACCCTCTGCCACCTCTAAGGCTACAGGGGAAAGAATCCCCTAAGGCCTGGACCCAAGCCTGGTCACTGCAAAGGTAGAGCAGAGGTGGGGAGGTGGGGGAGGCCTGCCATCTGGGAGCCCAGCCAAGGGGCCAGACAGCCACATTTTAGGGCTGTCCCACCTGCCCCGGGGGGGGGGGAACAGTTGGGGCCCTGGCCTGACTTGGCCACATCAAATGGCAGGTGAAAGCTGCCCCGTTTGTCCCTGAGATTTGTTCTTTAAAAGCAAAGGACAGAAACAAAAATTAAATTTAAAAAGTAATTAAAAACAAAGGACAGGAAATGCTCCACTACTCTAGTAAGCAAGCTAAGTATTGGCAAAAGGTGGGATTCATGTGCCCCTGAAATAAGTGAAAAGTTGGAGAGCATTTGGCAATACCTATTACAGCTGATGACCCAGTTAAGAAAAAAAAATTGCAGAATGAGACGCCAAAGATGATACCGTTTATGTAAACCTGAAAATCACAAAACATGTTCTCAGGTACAAGAACGTGCTCTTAACATCACATTTATGTGCAAGTAAAACCTGGATGAAAAGGAAACATGCCCCTGAGGACATCCTGTCCTTTCATGTTAAAATGAAAGCCCCCACCACAGTGATTCACAACGCTGACAAATGGTGGAGACTAATGAAAACAAAGGGAATTTCAGTTTTGTTGCTTATTAAATTTGAAGCAAATATGACAAAATAGTCATAACAGTCAACCTTCTGGTAAGTTATCTGTATTTTTAAATCTCTTGGTAATACAACCAAAACCCTACGCAAATCAGCCCAAACAAAACTGGAGGCCGCAGTGAAAACGCCCCCTCCTTCAGGGCGCGGGGAGCGGGAGTGCTAACCACCGCAGACCAACCCCGCCCCTCAGCCGGAAGGCAGGCGCTCCAAAGAGCAATTTAGAGAGCAGGGGAGGGGGGCCCCCGCCGTGGTCCACGTCCGGCAGATCCTGGGCTGGCCCCGCACCCGCCCCCACGCCGCTACCCGCCTCCCAAGGCACCAGCTGGGAGGCGTGCCGTGCACTCCTATTAGCAGGACCAGCGCCGGAGCTCCCGTCTGATTGGTGGAAATTGCGATCCTTGATTTGCATAGGGCTTGGGGCCAGCGCCCCTGCTTACCGTGGCTGCGTCTGCGCGGGGGCCCAATCGCAGTGGGCTGCCTGACAGCCAAGGAGAGCTCGGAGCCCGTTCCGCCCCGTCGCCCCCGCGCGCGGGCCGGCCCCCTTCCGTCCAGAATCCCGCGCAGCGTTTTGCGGTGCTGGTCTCCCGGACGCCCCAAAGAGGAAGTTGCGGAGCGGTTCCTGGCGCTCCTGGAGATTTTTGTGCCCCACCCCGGGATCCATGGGAAGGCCCCTTCCTGTCTCAGCAGCGCCCCGCGTGCTCTCCCCGCGGCCTGTGCACCCTCTCTTCCCTGAGGCTTGCGGGAGCACCTATCGACAGCGGCCCTGGCTCTTTGTATGCCCTCAGGGCGCGCGCGCGCGCACACGCGCACAATTGCCAGGTGTCGTCGTTTGTGTTAATGCCTGTCGCTCCTTGCCCAGTTCAGGGCGGGCCATGTAGTAAGTGCTCGCATTCACCTAACAAAGTAGTTACACGTCGTTAACATTGGGAGAAAATAACGGTGAAAAAGTGGCCCCTGCTTTCAGAGAGTTAATGAGCCGGGTGAGGAGACAATAGACAACCATTCCAAATAATTATAAAGTGGTTCAGTGCCAAGGAGGAGCCTGCAGAGCAAATCACAGGGGCTCTGACCAGGCTGGGGCAGTTGATCAACCCTCTAGGCAGCCCTGCTCCAAGCCCCAAGCCCTTGTCAGCCTCTGTGCCTTGCTCTGCCCAGAGGCTGCGAATCTGGATGGGGCTTGGTGGGCTGTGACTGGGGCTTCTCAACCAGATCCTATGGTCCCTGTGGTCAGGACAGGGTCTTGGCCTCTGTGCCCCATTCTCCCCCTCCCCGCCCCTCCCCCCTCGTGTTTGGCAAGAAGTCAGCTTGGTTTTAAGCTAAAGGATTCACAAAACTTGGAAGTATTGAGTGAACAGAGAGACAACAAAGAAACCACCACTCCCCTCCCCACCCCCACCCCAAGCCTTTTTGCTGTTTCCGAAAAAGCAGTTTCCTTCACAGGAAGCCCTAGTGCTCCATGTTTGTTACAAAATCCATTCCTTAGGACTGATGCCAGGAGAAAACAGTAAGATCCAGAATTTCCCCTGCAGCAGCATTTTCTGAAATGTAAACAGTTTATCAAATATAATTTATTCAGAAAAAAATACAGTGTTTTAAGAACTTAATTCCAAAAGGCTGACAGAACACAACAGCTGAGCAGAAAACAGCCTTCTGTGAGCAGTACCAGGTCAGGGCTGAGAACCGCCAGCAGGTCTAGCTTTGAGAGAAGGTTCCACCGGTCATACCAGGTATAAAGGACCCTATGAATTATTGATGGTGGTGGTCCCCTACTCTTCCCAGGCTGCCCATTTGCTCCACTGTGGGTTCCTGGTTGCAGCCAGGATAGCCACTCGTACTCATGAATCCACCACTGTCAACTAACACTGTGCGATCTCATCCCAAAGCAAATCCACACACGTAAAACACAAGCACCTGTTATCAGCAACAATATTTAGTACAGCAAATTGCAGTCTTAGTCTCTGAAAATCCAGGGTTACTCATGGTGAGGCCGCTTGGCTACGGGCTCCTCCTTCTCCGGCTTCAGCCATCGTTCCAGGAGTCCTGCACCTCCTCTCTTGGTGGGGAGTGGGCTCTTTTGCAGGACCTGGCTGGACCACCGGGGCACATCTGACTCTGCCTTAGGGGGTGTTTTGGGCTCTTCCTTTTTGGGTGACTTTGTGGTCAGCCATTGCATCATCTTCTGGCTACTACCACTTGCCTTGAGCTCCTAGGAGAAAGAAGAAAATGTTCAAACCACCCAGCTCAAACTTTTGGGAACAGGCCAACTTCAAGGGAAGAAACAGGGGAAGAGGCATTAGGTACTGACCCAGGCTTGGAAAATGTTACTGAGAGCCAGATGGGGCCCACTGGTCAGGAGTGGGGAGAAGGGAGGAGCAACTGAGTGTGCTCCAAGGGGTGCAAGGGATAGGGAGGAGCTCTTTAGAGCAGGCCTCAAAGACGAGGTGTGTGGGACCACTCAGTGAGAAAAGAGAGCTGACAGGCATTCCAAACAGGTGCATTCTCACGGAAGAGGACAGAATTTCCCAACAGGCTGAGTGTTGGGAAATGAAACTGGAGAGGAATGGCTTCAAACAGTCGCCAGGATTAAGGATTCAGCTAAGGCTGAACAGGCTGACCTGTTTCCCCACTGTGCAGCCTCTCTTCGACCGGCACTGCTCCCTCCTGCTCTCACACCTGCACCCCAACCCTGAATCGAAGGTTCTGAATTCCCATAATGCCACTTCTCCAGAATGGGAATTCTTCAGGAGTAAAGACCATGGCAGAAATGGGGTAGTGTCCAGCACAAAATGAACGTGTATCATTATATTTTTAGAGACATCTAATAAATAAAAGGATCAGGATTGCAGGAGTTTGCAGAGAACTGAGACAAAAGAAAAAAGATGACACGGAGTATGGAAAACTTAGAAACTTTCAGAAAAATGGGGGGTAGCTGTTTTGTAATCATTGTCCCTAACACTTCTCAGGCATTCTAAGATGTCTATTCTTGGAACACTACTTAAGTCCCTTGGTGCCACCTGGAAACAGCTGCTATTCCTAAACCTTTGCTCTGGAACTTCTATTCCCACTGAAGGTCTTTGGCCTGTTCACCTTCCCTTCAAAATACAACTGGATCCTTCCTTGCCAATTCTAAAAAAGTTAAAGTTCATGGCAGGAGTGTTCTCAAATCCTCCTGAAGGAGTATAAGGATTGGAACTCCTCCAACTTGTAGTTGGGAAAGCAGAGGTACAGAAAAGAGAAAAAAACTCCACAGTTGTGGACAAAGATACAATTATGGACAAGGGCTCCTCTGTCTTTCTTACAATCACCCTCTAGATTAGGAGTCCTCAAACTTGGTTTATCAGACTCACTGAAGCAGCTTTTAATGACACAGAAGCCCAAGCCCAGCCAGCCCTGGATACTGACTCAATAGGTCTAGATAAGGTCCAACATTTTACATTTTGAAAGAGCTCTCCTGAGCAGTCTGAGTCACAGCCAGCTTTGAGAATAGTGCTCTGCTTAACCTTCCATACATAAGGAAATGTGAGTCTTGGAAGGTTTAAATTAAAGCTGTGAAAGGCCATATCCTAAAAGAAAAAGATATTTTGACAGAAGATAGAAAGTTCAGAAAGGACCGTCAGTCACAGGCCCCTACCTTTTTGACCAACAAGTTGAGAGGAGCCAGACATTCAGGAGTGTTGTTTCGGGTGTTGTTCACCACGCAAGAGACTGGATGGAAGGCGATGTTCTCTGTGGGGTGGATTAACTTCAGAGCTTCCTGAGCGGAGACCCCACCAAAGTCAAGCCATTTAGAGACTTCCTCCTCTCCATCTAATATGGCAGGCATCCTAGTCAGTGAGGTAGAGACATTAGCTGGGAGGCAGAGGGAGGGTAGGGACAGAAGAGAGACCTGAGTCAGCACAAATCATCCTAAGGAGAAGCTTGTCCTCTCTCTACACCTCATGTGCCGATTTGCTGCCGTGTGTCCCCTGACCACAACTTGACAGGGCACGAAACTCAACCCTAGAAGAGCTAGCTTACAAAGTTTTATGGCAAAGACAATGAATAGTGCTATGACTGGATCCAGTGCACTCCCGTGTACATCCTGATTGGTGAACTTTCTATGACTAAGCCTAGAATTAAAGGGAAAATTTGTCTATCAGTAATAATCTCTAGATTTACAGTAAGAAAGAGTTATTCACATAATTGTGAACTCTAGGAAACTATGCCTCAGAAAGCAAGGATGCTGCTGCCTAAGATGACTCCTGGAGATGGGAGGAAAAGATCCTATGTTTAGCTTCCAGTTTTATGCCTAGGCCAATGCGAAGCATGCTACACATTCACTGGTGGGTGGCACAGTTGATTTTAGGAGATAAATGCATAAACATCTATTTTAATAATTAAAAGTCATAACTTCAACAAATCAAACGTGTACTTTAAAAAATACTTTACAACTGGGGCGCCTGGGTGGCTCAGTGGGTTAAGTGTCTGACTCTTGATTTTGGCTCAGATCATGATCTCAGGGTCATGAGATGGAGCCCCACATTGGGCTCCACGCTCACTGTGAGTCTGCTTGAGATTCTTTCCCTCTGTCTCTTCCCCCTGCTCCCTAGCTCTGTCTCAAATAAATAAATAAATCTTAAAAAAAAATTTAGTCTCTGAAATCCAGAAGCATTTTCTGATGAATGGCATCTCTGCATTGTATTATATAGTTCAGTTGGAAGTAGTTGGGAGCACTTTACTTTTTTTCTTTTTCTTTTTTTTTAAGATTATTTATTCGACAGAGGGGGTAGAGAGAGAGAGAGAGAGAGAGAGAGAGAGAGAGAGGGGAGCGGCAGGCAGAGGGAGAAGCAGACTCCCCGCTGAGCAGGGAGCTCAACCCAGGGCTCCTTCCCAGGACCCTGGGATCATGACCTGAGCCGAAGGCAGACACTTAACCAACTGAGCCACCCAGGACCCCTGCGCTTTACTTTTCTTAGCAGCGTATAAAATAATGTTTTATTAAAAAAAATCAATGGTGTCTTAGATTAGATGAAGTGGGAATTTATCTTCAATTAGCAAAAAACAGAACCACTATATCACATGAAAGTATAATTTCACACAGAATGCTTAGGAGGAGGTTAAAATAGATAATCCTATTATGTGCAGCACTGCATTCTTTTCAGCAAAACATTAAGTATCACTTCTGGGGGCACTCAGATCTGGCAAAACCTATTAAAGTGTTATATATGGTCAATTCTGCTAATGCTTGTTTTTTTTTATTTTATTTTTTAAAGATTTTATTTATTTATTTGACAGAGAGAGACACAGTGAGAGAGGAAACACAAGCAGGGGGAGTGGGAGAGGGAGAAGCAGGCTTCCCACCGAGCAGGGAGCCCGATGCGGGGCTTGATCCCAGAACTCTGAGATCATGTCCCAAGCCAAAGGCAGATGTTTAACGACTGAGCCACCCAGGTGCCCCTGCTAATGCTTGTTTTTAAAATGTCAGCTGTTCCAATGTGATTGCTGTATTAGAGAGCAATTTCAGCATAATGCAAATTTTGTGTTTATAGTTTTGTCTGTGAGAAACACAAGGTGAACACACAGACAACTGCACCCAGCTGAACGGTGCCTTCTAGGAACACACAGAATGCACACATACACACACCTCAAACACTGACAGCTACTGTGTTGCGACTCACTGCACGTTATCTTCCCAAGTTGTTTTGCTCTTATTTTGCATTTGTGAACTTCTCCCTATATAAAAATCCCTCTTCGTTCAACACCTCACACATGTCAAAGCTTTGTACCTCAAAACATGCAAAGCAGTGCACGTAGGTGGAAAATTTTTAAGTACTGACAAGAAGCTTGAACTATTAGAGCATCTTCAAGGTAAAAAGAGAACATGTGGTATCTCCTTAGCAACAGACATAAAGGAATCCACCAGCGACAACATTGTGAAAATAAAAGGAATGTCTATGATTGCAACAACTTCAAGAAGTATCATGAAGTCAGTATCGATCAGGCCTAAAGGAACAGAAACAGAAACAATGAAGAGATTCTTTAGCATATGGACTGAATGGCAAATAGTGAAAAAACTGCTTTCTCAAAAAGAGAATGCACTATCTGAAATACCACAGAACTGGCTCCTCTGAGTGCTAGCAATGAATGGCTTGGTGGTTTCAAACAGTGATGGAATTTCCAAAGCTTTCAGTGTCAGGAGAAGACATGAACATGGATGAAAATGTTGGAAGAATTTTCAGCAGTTAATAAAGTAGTTAATTGCAGAAGGGGGCTACACACTGGAGCACAATGTTCAATTTTGATTAAATACATATCTACTCTAAATGCATGCCTTGAAGGAACATTTCTTTTTCTTTTTTAAGATTCTATTTATTTGACAGAAAAAGAGCGAGAGAGCGAACACAGGCAGGGGGAGTGGGAGAGGGAGAAGCAGGCTCCCGCTGAACAAGGAGCCCGTTCTCCCTCTCCCATTCCCCCACTTGTGCTCTCTCGCTCTTTCAAATAAATAAAATCTTAAAAAAAAAAAAAAAGATTTTATTTATTTGAGAGAGAGCGCAAGAGAGAGCAAGAGCACAGAGGAGAGTGAGAGGGAGAAGCAGAGAGCCACTGAGCAGAGAGCCCTATATGGGGCTCAATCCCACAATCCTGAGACAATGACCCGAGCCAAAGGCAGACACCTAACCAACTGAGCCACCCAGGCGCCCCCAACATTTCTTTTTTACCCCCGAGATCATGACCTGAGCCAAAGACAAACACTTAACCAACTGAGCCACCCAGGCACCCCCTGAAGGAAAATTTCAAAGGCAGAAAAACATGCCCCAGGATTTAAGGCCACAACAGAGCACAAATTTTGCATAATCTTCCCTCCATTTCATGATAGCTTACAAGCTACAATTTCTCTGACACTCATTTTCCACAAGCAAATTCTGGAACTTTCTAAGGTAATGTGCCATATTTAATGTAATGTCTACGTAGACAACTGTGGTACTGTTTTTAATAGATCCCTATTATTTGTTAACGTGTTCCTGATAAATTTTTAGGTGTTGTCCCCCTAACCCTGCTTTTCCCATAAGTTCTTGGGTTTTCACTGTACAGTCTGGCACAATGTAGTGACTTTTAGGAATACATGTCATATTATAGCCAAACTGACCATAACTGTATTTTGCAAAGCAACTGCTACTCTCTAAATTTGTGCACTGAATCCAAAAGCTACCTATCGAAAAGCAGAGTACAAGCCCTCCTCTGATCCTTTTGGACCCAGGGATGAGAACTGTGACTTGCCTAGGGTGAATGTCATTCAAGCTTTTGCAGGAATCGACTGTGATGATGGTGTAGGAATACAGGAGGTCTCCTTCTGGGGACTCCCAGCAGTCAAAGATCCCCGCCATTGTCAGCAGCCTCCAGTTGTCCCAGACTTTCTCCCAGTGCTCGGGACTGTCCACAGCACCAACATTACCTGACTGGAAACAAAATACATGGGCAGCTTAGACACTCAGCGGCCCCCTCCTACACACAGGTTGGGTACTACTACAGGCTTAACACAGCAATCATCTCACAAGTACTTCAGCCCATGTGTTAGTAACTCCTCTCGACCCACTGTCCCAAAAGAAAGAAGTTTAATGGAAGTACCCACCGAAGCTATGGATTTATGGCTCCTTAATGCTTTCAGAATACAATCCAACATCACCAATGGGCATTCAGGCCTTCCACACTCCAGCCCATCATTCTAGCTTTTACTAATAATTTTAATTTGAGGGGCGCCTGGGTGGCTTAGTTGGTTGAGCGTCTGCCTTTGGCTCAGGTCATGATCCCAGGGTCCTGGGATGGAGCCCTGCATAGGGCTCCGTGCTCAGCAGGGAGCCTGCTTCTCCCTCTCCCTCTGCCTCTGCCTGCCTGTTCTGCCTACTTGTGATCTCTCTGTCAAATAAATAAATAAAATCTTTAAAAAAAAGATAAAATAATTTTAATCTGAACCAAATCCAGCAGTCTATAAATGAAGCCCTTGTGCAATTTCGTGCCTTTTTATCTTGCCAGAGCAACCTCCTCTGCCCAAAATGTCCTGCCATTTCTCATCATGCCAGCTCCTACCTGCCATTTAAGATTCAGTTCAATACCTAGAATACAGAAAGCTGGGAAGAGTACCCCCTCCACCCCAACAATAGGAAAAAAGCTAGATAATCTACAAAAATCCTAACTTTTCATTTTTATTATTTTATTTTTTATTTTTTTATTTTCAAGCCCCACGTGGAGCCCAATGTGGGGCTTGAACTCATGAACCTGAGATCCAGACCTATCATACCAAGGGTTGGACGCTTAACCAACTGAACCACCCAGGAGCCCCCAAAATCACAACTTTTCTTAAACTCATCAGAAAACTGAGGTCACTGGGCAACCAACTGGCATGAACTTTGGGGGAAGACAGGGGCCTCCAAGGGAAGATAGAGACATAAGTACTGGCTTACTGGTGGCAAGAGGAGAAAGACAAGGTCTTCATTCAGATAAAATTATTACCAAATTGCTAAAAACAGTGTATGGGCTGGCCTGAGAGCCCAGAACCCCTGGGAGCTGCGGATGTCTGGGGAGTTCACATCAGCTTGCGGGTTCTTCTCCATCAACTTCCCCAGCTGCTCACAAGAAAGACGGGGGCAGAGCAGGATACTAGAGAAAGCCTGCCTTGCTGGTGCATGCCTAGAGGAGGGGAGCTCTCTTACATCAGGAAAGGCATGAAGCCTCACCCAGTCATTTCTTCTCTAAGGAGCAAAAGCCTTAAGGGGCCAGGGTATGGGTAATAAAGCCTACTGCCCCTAAGATACAGGTAAAGACCCAATGAGTCTGGGGAAGGGTAAATGAACAATCCTTCCACTCCCCTGGGGAAGGAGTAGGATCCCTGAGAAAGCCTGAGCCTGACAGCCAGGGCCCCAGATCTGTCCAAGACTGAGGCTGTATGAAGACAATGAACACTCTCCCACCCTTTATATCAGCAAGCACCACACGGACAGCAACAGCAGCCTCATTCTAGGGAAGGGGCAAGAGCATAGAGAGATCCTTTCCAAAGCACAGGCCTAAAAGGAAGGTACTACAGCTGAAAGAAGCAAGGCTACTGAGAAAAACCCTCTGGAGAATCACCCTTACCCTGAACACAAGATGGCACAGAGAAATTTAAAGCCTGTAGTGAATAAAGGTAATTATAACAACAAAACCAGTTCAACTCCTAATAAGATCGGCTCAACCTCACACATTAATGGCCTATTAGAAGGATAAGTGTGTCCCTTCCCAGACATAATTATTTATCTCAGTCTCTATGTATGGCAATCAATCAAAAATTACAAGACAAACAAAAAAGCCAGAAAACCCAATGAACTGCCAAGAGATATAGCAATCAACAGAACCAAACTCAAGATATTTCTTTTCCCGGGGCGCCTGGGTGGCTCAGTTGGTTAAGTGTCTGCCTTCGGCTCGGGTCATGATCCCAGCGTCCTGGGATTGAGCCCCGCATTGGGCTCCCACCACGGCGGGGAGCCTGCTTCTCCCTCTGCCTACTGCTCCCCTTGCTTGTGCTCTCTCTCACTATCTCTCTCTGTAATAAATAAATAAAATCTTAAAAAAAAAAGACATTTCTTTTCCCAAATACTAAAACTATCAGAAAGGGAATTTAAAATAAGTTTGTTTTTTTTTTAAAGATTTTATTTATTTATTTGACAGAGAGAGACACAGGGAGAGAGGGAACACAAGCAGGGGGAGTGGGAGAGGGAGAAGCAGG